CCCATTGTGCCCATTAACCGAGGATGTCGAAGATCTGGAATATCTAACTCCCGGTCACTTTCTCATTGGTGGACCACTATTGTCATTACCACAAGAAGAGCAAGAGTTTGCTCAGCACGATTTAAGGAACAGATGGAGGCTTGTTGAACAAATGAACCTTCACATTTGGAAACGCTGGTCAAACGATTATTTACATCAACTACAAATCCGAAGTAAATGGCAGCAACAAAAAGAAAATTTAAAAGAAGGAAGCCTAGTATTAGTAAAGGATGAGCACTTAACCCCTGGCCGCTGGGCTATGGGACGAGTCCAAGAACTGCATCCCGGCGCCGACGGTCAAGTACGAGTTGTCACCTTAAAAACTAAAAACGGGTCACTTAAACGACCAATAACGAAACTTTCACCATTGCCGTTGAAACTGGAAGAATCGAAGAACGAAGAGGAAAGGTCTACTACTTCGAAAAGCAAAATATGGCGAGGCACAACAAAACAAAACACATGGCTATCACTTGTTCTTCTGTCGATACTGGCAATAACAGGATGTGCACGATCATCGCCGACCAGCAATAACATACAGGTTACACCTATACCAAATAATCATCCGATTTACTTCGATATCGCTGGCCAAATACAACTTATACACGACGAATGGACATTATTGGTTTATTACAACTTAACAGCATACTGGCGAGCAACTGATCAAATCAAGAATTATGTAAACCAAATAGATAAACTATGCAATAGAATATCACATGAATACACGCCTTGCGAAACGATTGTTGATCACCTACGTTATGAATTGAATCATCTAACCGATTACAACTCAATGCTGCTTACTCAACACACGAGACCCAAGCGTGGTTACTTTGATGGAGTTGGAAAATTAGCAAGAACTCTTTTCGGAGTACTCGACGTCGATTTCGCAGAAAAGTACGAAAAGGACATAGAGAAACTACAATCAAACGACGACTACCTATTACAACTTATGAAAAACCAGACATTGATTGTAGAGGCTGAAAACAATATAATTAAAAGAAACACTGTCTTTATGAATAAACAATTTGAAACATTACACGCCTATATGAACAAAACTTGCAGCGACATCACAAGAATAGAAAACAGAGCACAAATGCTGTTCACGATAAACGACGTAAATTCTGCTGCCGTGACGTCAACTTTAATTTTAAGTGATTTAAATCGGATATCTGAAATGTTGATAAACGCTCTGGCCAATATCTATAGAGGACATTTAGATACTCATCTATTTCCAGCTAACCAATTGATTGAACAGCTAAACATAATATCTGGGAGGCTGCCACAGGGATTGTCGTTACCTGTCAAGGATATTCAAAGCGAATTGACAACTATCTACGATCTTATTCATGTCAGGGCTCGAATTACAAACAATTACATGTTATTCGAAATACACGTCCCCTTGCTGAGCGATGAAGACTATCAGATATATCGAGTCATACCTATACCTTTTCTTCGACAAGGACAGCTAAAAATTATACAACCAAGTGCGAGCTTCATCGCTATCAACTTCATAAAAAATTCGTTTATAACAATGGAAGATCAAGACATGCGCCAATGTACTTCATACTGAGAAGATCAATTCATTTGTAATTTACATAGCCCTGTCTACAACATGATCAATAAAGATGCCCCGTGTGAGGCCCAAATCTTTAACCAACAAGATTCGGTATCATGCATCCTCAATGACGTCACATGTAAAGAAACCTGGACTAAACTTCACAAACCGAACATGTGGTTATTTACATTGTGTAACAAACAGCTGATGCGCGTCATATGTAGCGATCAAGTTACGCCGACGGTCATTGACGGGACTGGAGTAATTTCCTTGAAATCAAAATGCTTACTGCAGAAAAAGGACGCCACAATATTTACACTTAATCAGCTGGGAAGTAGTGTAAACATGAAACCGGAGATAGAAGTGCCAACTATAGATTCAGTTATCAATAACATTTTTGATCTTGGTTGGAAGAACACAAACTTAAACATATCGGAACAACAAGCGCCAACTTCAGTAGAAATGCGAAAAATAGACCAGCAATTAGAATTTCAGAAGAGTAGAGAAATATTACCAAGTGTCTCTGACTTATCCAGTCACGACATCTATCACTACTCAGTTACTTCCTTGTTGTTGGGAGGAATCGCTGTGCTTGCCATCTATATTATCTTCAAAAGATGGTATAAAATGAAGAAAGGTGTCAAAACACTCCCAGCCAGAACAGGAGACGCTCCTACCGGAAGAGAGAACTTCGGAAGGGAGATCGAGCTACAAGAAATACACTCTACGTCAGCGGGGCCCATTTACAGCGAAGCAGTACCACCGAAGAAAACGTTTCACTTTGAAGACTTAAATTAAGTACTAGGCCTGACGTTAACATTTTTTGATTAACTAGTTATTGTTAACTATTCAACTTTTATTATTTTACTTTATATTCCTTTTTGATTTTAATATTGTTTGTAA